CTTAGTGTGCGCGGTATTAAAAAAAAATCTGGGACCACTTAGTGCCTTGTGGAAGCGCCAGTTAAACTGAGCACCAGCTAGAGCAAACAGTGCGGCAAACACCAAGGATTCGCTGATGTAATATCATATTAACATCCCCCTTTTAAGAGGAAAGTGATGTTAACCCAAGTTTAGGGTCTGTCTATCTCTGTATCTCTGTCTGTCTATCTCTGTATCTCTGTCTATCTCTGTCTGTCTGTGTCTGTCTCTGTCTCTATCTGTCTTTGTCTATCTGTCTCTGTATCTCTTTCAATCTGTCTCTCTTTCTATCTGTCTATCTCTGTCTCACAGGTACACATTATTACAAGTATACATAGTGTAAATTACCTAGGATAACCCAAAAAATCCAGACAAAGTGCTATACTCTGCTTGAAGATGTGAGTAAACGTGATGATGCAGTCTTGTGGCTCTCTCTGAGACAGAGAGCTAGATGGATAGACAGAGACAGGGAGCTTGACAGACAGACAGACATGTCTGTGTACCAGCAAAAACAAAGTGAGGGCGATGCTCATCAAATATCACCTCTAATCTTTTCTTATCAGCTGCACCCTCCCCCACCCTCACGTATGCTCATCAAACGTCAGCTCTTATCAGTTATCTCATCTTATCATGTCACTGTCAGGGGTGGACTTCGTTTTTCATGCTTCAAGGGAACTTATTATTACCTATTATTATTTTTTTTTTTCAACAAACCAGTCGTATCCCACCAAGGCAGGGTGGTTCAAAAAGAAAAACGAAAATCTCTGTTTCTAAATTTAGTAATTTATACAGGAGAAGGGGTTACTAGCCCCTTACTCCTAGCATTTTTAGTCGCCTCTTACAAACACGCATAGCTTACGGAGGAAGAATTCTGTTCCACTTCCCCATGGAGGTAGGAGGAAATGAACAAGAACAAGAACTAGTAAGAAAAATAGAAGAAAACCCAGAGGGGTTGTATATTATATATGCTTGTACATGTATGTGTAATGTGACTTAAGTGTAAGTAGAAGTAGCAAGATGTACCTGAAACCTTGCATGTTCATGAGACAGAAAAATGGACACCAGCAATCCTACCATCAAGTAAAAACAATTACAGGCTTTCGTTTTACACTCAGTGGGCAGGACGGTAGTACCTCACTGGGTGGTTGCTGTCTACCAGCCTACTACCTATTATTCTTTCTTTCAACACACCGGCCGTATCCCACCGAGGCAGGGTGGCCCAAAAGGAAAAACAAAAGTTTCTCCTTTTTCATTTAGTAATATATACAGGAGAAGGGGTTACTAGCCCCTTGCTCCTGGCATTTTAGTTGCCTCTTACAACACGCATGGCTTACGGAGGAAGAATTCTGTTCCACTTCCCCATGGAGTTAAGAGGAAATAAACAAGAACAAGAACTAGAAAGAAAATAGAAGAAAACCCAGAGAGGTGTGTATATATATGCTTGTACATGTATGTGTATTGTGACTTAAGTGTAAGTAGAAGTAGCAAGACGTACCTGAAATCTTGCATGTGTATGAGACAGAAAAAAAAGACACCAGCAATCCTATCGTGTTAAAACAATTGCAGGCTTCTGTTTTACATTCACTTGGCAGGACGGTAGTACCTCCCTGGGTGGTTGCTGTCTACCAGCCTACTACCTATTATTATTATTACATATTATTCTTCTCCTCCTCCTCCTCCTCATTGTTATTATATACTTCCACATATCCAAAACATTGCTGGACATATAAATATTTTGTATATATTCCAAGACAATAGTAAATGGCTAAGGCAGGTGTAAATGTCCACCTGTCAGTGTGTTTCTGACAATTTGAGTACAATTTCAGTACCTAATACTAGTGTCAAAACAAAGATTGGTTATAAAATGACAAGAACTACTACAAATTGTAATTATCAGAACATAAAAATTACATAAAATAATATGAAAAATCCTAGGTAGTAGGTTGGTAAACAGCAAGCGCCCAGGGGAGGTACTACCGTCCTGCCAAGTGAGTGTACAACGAAAACCTGTAATTGTTTTACATGATGGTAGGATTGCTGGTGTCTTTTGTCTGTCTCATAAACATGCAAGATTTCAGGTATGTCTTGCTACTTCTACTTGCACTTAGGTCACACTACACATACACGTACAAGCATATTATACACACCCCTCTGGGTATTCTTCTGTTTTCTTTCTAGTTCTTGTTCTTGTTTATTTCCTCTTATCTCCATGGGGAAGTGGAACAGAATTCTTCCTCCGTAAGCCATGCGTGTTGTAAGAGGCGACTAAAATGCCGGGAGCAAGGGGCTAGTAACCCCTTCTCCTGTATAAATTACTAAATTTAAAAGAGAAACTTTCGTTTTTCTTTTTGGGCCACCCCGCCTTGGTGGGATACAGCCGGTGAGTTGAAAGATAATAAAAAATATGAAAAATAGAAAAAAGGTATATCGGCAACACTTCTGCAAGCGGCAGGACTCGATGTTGCTGTCACAGGAGCATCCAGTGCCAACTTCTTGGCCTCATATCTCGATAAGTACTGACCCTAAATTTTTTTATTCTAAAATACTTAAAAAAATGTGCTCTTTTTTACTATAAAAAAAAAACTGATTTTTTTCCAAAATATTCGGGGCACTGAGCGAGGTGTGAACATATATACACGTTTGGACCGTTTAACCCTTAAACGATCCAAATGTATGTATACAGTGGACCCCCGGTTCACGATATTAATCCGTTCCTGAGAGCTCATCATAAACCAAAATTATCGGAAAGCGAATCAATTTTCCCCATAAGAAATAATGGAAATCAAATTAATCCGTGCAAGACACCCAAAAGCATGAAAAAAAAACTCTTACCACATGATATATTAAGTTTAATGTAATATAATTACAATAACAATAATAACAATAGAATAATCGCAATAGAATAATTGACACTTACCTTTAATGAAGATCTGGTGATGATTGATGGGATGGGAGGAGGGGAGTGTGTCGAAGTTTTTAATGTTTAGAAGGGGAATCCCCCTCCATTAGGACTTGAGGTAGCAAGTCCTTTTCTGGGGTTACTTCCCTTCTTCTTTTAATGCCACTAGGACCAGCTTGAGAGTCACTGGACTTCTGTTGCACAACATATCTGTCCATAGAGGCCTGTACCTCTCGTTCCTTTATGACTTTCCTAAAGTGGTTCACAACATTGTCAGTGTACAGGTTGCCAACACAGCTTGCAGTAGCTGTGTCAGGGTGATTTTCATCAAAAAAGGTTTGCACTTCAAGCCACTTTGCACACATTTCCTTAATTTCAATAGTCATTAGCACCCTTGGTCTCGATGGGTTGGCATTAGAAGCTTTCTTGGGGCCCATGGTGACTTATTTTGCAGAAAAAAGCACCAAAAACAGTGATAATATGGATAATACAGAATGTACCAAATGTATCCTTAGATGCGCACACACTGGCTGGCTTGTAAACCCTGGACACGTCTCGTATGAATTGTATCGCATACCGGGTTGTGTAACGGGAACCGAGGCAAATTTTCTGCGATATAATGCATCGGTTACCGGATTTATCGGATACTGTTAGCATCGCGAACTGGGGGTCCACTGTATATATGTTTTTTTTGTCATTCATTCAACACTGCCACAATAAGCCTGAGTCACCTAGAAATGAGAGAATGGGTGTGCGCACTCACTGTGCACCATATTAAAATAATTGGGGATGCCTGGGTACCATATGCTCTTTTTTCCTATTAAAAAAAAAATTCTCAAAAAATTTGGGGCGCTACGCGAGTGAACATATATATACATTTGGACCGTTTAGGGGTTAAGGGTTAAGGCGACTTTACAGAGAATGATGTAACTATTAAAAAGGTGTTAATTTCTTTAGCTAACATTTAATTTACATTAAGATTGAAAAGAGTTGAATGTATTGGCACTAAGTGCCAATAATTCTTCAATAACTGAAACAGATCCAATATAATGACGAAAATGTATTGGCATAAACTAACTATAATTCACTAGACAAATAAAACAGAAGAATAAATACATGAACTAGAGGAGACATAAAGCTACAATAATGAAAGCTTAAAATTGAAAGACATGCAGATCACCAATGTTGGAGAAAATAAATTGAATAAAAACAGATTAACTTGAATTTATTTCCATTATAAAATATTACTCAGTACTTTTAAAATAATACTATTTATAATAATCATTACAGATTTTGAAAAAAGGCAATCAGTAGTGATTTTTAAGGAATAAGAAAGATTTATTGGTAAATTCAACTATTATACTCTTTCAACTGACCCGTCTTACCAAACATTTTTAAAGTGAATACAGTAGTTCTCTTCTGTAAGTGCTTTTTTCTCCTGATAGAGGTTCATGAATTCTAACACTGTAAAACCATTCAGTAATCTATTATTGAGGTGGTTTGGACATTTATAGTTGGAGAAAAATGGCATGGCTAGGAGGGCAAATAAATTAGGAATGGAGGGGAGGGAGGTTTGGGGTTATTGTAGGATAGGTTGGGGGGAGGGGAGGGGAGGGGTGAAAGAGGTTAGACATCTAAAAGGCTTGTGTGAGTATATTACATAGGAGTGGAGTTATGACTTGATGTTCTGCTGGAGTGTGAGCAAGGTAACATTTTTGAAAGGATTCAGGGAAACCAGCTGATCAGACTTGAAGTCCTAGAGATGGGAAGTTCAGTGCCTGCACTCTGAAGGAGGGGGTGGGGATGTTGTGATTTGGAGGGTCATCTGAACTGTTATGTCATCATCATTCTGGTATCTGAACTGTTATGTCATCATGATTTGGTAAGAGTGACTGAATGACGGTGAAAGCGTTTTCCTCTTTCTCAAGTCATCCTGCCTTGGTGGGAGACAGCTGGTGTATTATTATTAAATATAACAAGTGACAAACACTTAAGCAACATACAGCAATATACAGTACATAATATGAACTTCACAACTGTAAATCATTTTGTCTTGAAAGGTTATGATGGCCATTTTACTCACATTATCATTTATTCCTCTAGGCTTCATGAAGCTTTTGATATTGATAATAATGCACAATCCATGAGGGTAGCACGTGGGCAAGGGGTAATAGTTCTCTTCATTTGTCTGCGATTTTTGTGGTGCAAGAGATGGAGTGCAAGAAGCTCCTGAGGTTGTTAGGTGGAATGAAAGGTTCATCAGTAAATTTAGTTTACCCAAAAGCCATTTTCTACTACTGGTAATATACTTAAGATTATAATTATTTCTGCCTTCTCTACCCATTCACATCTTAGTTATACGACAGGTACATTCAGTAGGGCCCCACTTATATGGCAGGTTAGGTTCCAGGCTACCGCCATAAAGTAGAAATTACCATAAAGTGGAACGCCATTTTTTCCACTTATAAATGCATATAAATGCCAGATAAAAAGTTTACATTGACATGTATTAAGAAGCATTAAAAAACAATAAAAAGATAAAGTACATACCCAGTAAATGACTTACTTTAAAATATTTGTAGTCTTAATGCAAGGTGAGTAGTATTTATTGTAGGTAGCCAGGTGTGGTAGCTCCCACACCAGCTACCATAACTACACGACATATACAATTTAAATTTAAAGCGCCCCAAAGCGATTATTATTATCACCATCAATGTATGTTGCTCACTGAGATTAATTATTTCTATCTATTACCCTTAGATACATCGTTAACAAGAGAACGAGTAAATGAGAGAGAAAGAGAGACGCTGAAAATGTAAACAAACAAATGAAGGCGTAAGGGGAGTCACTTCGTCAGAAGAAACCATATCAATACCTGTCTACTTTTGGTTCAAATAAGTACATTTCCATGGGGAAGTGGAATAAGAATCTTTCCTCCGTAAGCCATGCGTGTTGTAAAAGTCAACTAAAATGCTGGGAACAATGGGCTAGTAACCCTTTTTCCTGTAAAGATTACTAAAAAGAATAAGAAGAAGAAAATTGTCAAAGTGGGAAGTCTGAATGTGCGTGGATGTTGTGCAAATGATAAGAAAGTGATGATTGTGGATGTTATGAATGAGAAGAAGCTGGATGTCCTGGCTTTAAGTGGAACAAAGCTGAAGGGGGTGGGAGAGTTTCAGTGGAGAGGAATAAATGGGATTAGGTCAGGGGTTTCAAATAGAGTTAGAGCTAAAGAAGGAGTAGCAATAATGTTGAAGGATAAGATATGGCAGGAAAAGAGGGACTATAAATGTATTAATTCAAGGATTATGTGGAGTAAAATAAAGGTTGGATGTGAAAAGTGGGTAATAGTAAGCGTATATGCACCTGGAGAAGAGAGAAGTGTAGACGAGAGAGAGAGATTTTGGGAAATGTTGAGTGAATGCGTGGGGAGTTTTGAACCAAGTGTGAGAGTACTTATGGTTGGGGATTTCAATGCTAAAGTGGGTAAAAATGTTATGGAGGGAGTAGTAGGTAAATTTGGGGTGCCAGGGGTAAATGTAAATGGGGAGCCTTTAACTGAGCTACGTATAGAAAGAGATTTGGTAATAAGTAATACATATTTTATGAAAAAGAGGATAAATAAATATACAAGGTATGATGTAGCACGTAATGAAAGTAGTTTGTTAGATTATATATTGGTGGATAAAAGGTTGATGGGTAGGCTCCAGGATGTACATGTTTATAGAGGGGCAACTGATATATCGGACCATTATTTAGTTGTAGCTATAGTTAGAGTAAGAGGTAGATGGGACAAGAGGAAGGTGGCAACAACAAGTAAGAGAGAGGTGAAAGGGTATAAACTAAGGGAGGAGGAAGTTCGGGTGAGATATAAGCGACTATTGGCAGAAAGGTGGGCTAGTGCAAAGTTGAGTAGTGGGGGGGTTGAAGAGGGTTGGAATAGTTTTAAAAATGCAGTATTAGATTATGGGGCAGAAGTTTGTGATTATAGGAGGGTGGGGGCAGGAGGAAAGAGGAGTGATTGGTGGAATGATGAAGTAAAGGGTGTGATAAAAGAAAAAACTTAGCTTATGAGAGGTTTTTACAAAGCAGAAGTGCTATAAGAAGAGCAGAGTACATGGAGAGTAAAAGAAAGGTGAAGAGAGTGGTGAGAGAGTGCAAAAGGAGAGCAGATGATAGAGTGGGGGAGGCACTGTCAAGAAATTTTAATGAAAATAAGAAAAAAATTTTGAGTGAGTTATACAAGAAAGCCTAGGGAATGTATGAATTTGTCGGTTAAAAACAGAGTAGGGAAGTTAGCAGATGGGGAGATGGAGGTATTAGGTAGATGGCGAGAATATTTTGAGGAACTTTTAAATGTTGAGGAAGAAAGGGAGGCGGTAATTTCATGCACTGGCCAGGGAGGTATACTATCTTTTAGGAGTGAAGAAGAGCAGAATGTAAGTGTGGAGGAGGTACATGAGGCATTATGTAGAATGAAAGGAGGTAAAACAGCTGGAACTGATGGGATCATGACAGAAATGTTAAAAGCAGGGGGGATATAGTATTGGAGTGGTTGGTACTTTTGTTTAATAAATGTATGAAAGAGGGGAAGGTACCTAGGGATTGGCAGAGAGCATGTATAGTCCCTTTATATAAAGGGAAGGGGGACAAGAGAGATTGTAAAAATTATAGAGGAATAAGTTCACTGAGTGTACCAGGAAAAGTGTACGGTAGGGTTATAATTGAAAGAATTAGAGGTAAGACAGAATGTAGGATTGCGGATGAGCAAGGAGGTTTCAGAGTGGGTAGGGGATGTGTAGATCAAGTGTTTACATTGAAGCATATATGTGAACAGTATTTAGATAAGGGTAGGGAAGTTTTTATTGCATTTATGGATTTAGAAAAGGCATATGACAGAGTGGATAGGGGAGCAATGTGGCAGATGTTGCAAGTATATGGAATAGGTGGTAAGTTATTAAATGCTGTAAAGAGCTTTTATGAGGATAGTGAGGCTCAGGTTAGGGTGTGTAGAAGAGAGGGAGACTACTTCCCAGTAAAAGTAGGTCTTAGACAGGGATGTGTAATGTCACCATGGTTGTTTAACATATTTATAGATAGGGTTGTAAAAGAAATAAATGCTAGGGTGTTCGAGAGAGGGGTGGGATTAAATTATGGGGAATCAAATACAAAATGGGAATTGACACAGTTACTTTTTGCTGATGATACTGTGCTTATGGGAGATTCTAAAGAAAAATTGCAAAGGTTAGTGGATGAGTTTGGGAGTGTGTGTAAAGGTAGAAAGTTGAAAGTGAACATAGAAAAGAGTAAGGTGATGAGGGTATCAAATTATTTAGATAAAGAAAAATTGGATATCAAATTGGGAAGAAGGAGTATGGAAGAAGTGAATGTTTTCAGATACTTGGGAGTTGACGTGTCGGCGGATAGATTTATGAAGGATGAGGTTAATCATAGAATTGATGAGGGAAAAAAGGTGAGTGGTGCATTGAGGTATATATGGAGTCAAAAAACGTTATCTATGGAGGCAAAGAAAGGAATGTATGAAAGTATAGTAGTACCAACACTCTTATATGGGTGTGAAGCTTGGGTTGTGAATGCAGCAGTGAGGAGACGGTTGGAGGCAGTGGAGCTGTCCTGTTTAAGAGCAATGTGTGGTGTAAATATTATGCAGAAAATTCGGAGTGTGGAAATTAGGAGTAGGTGTGGAGTTAATAAAAGTATTAGTGAGAGGGCTGAAGAGGGGGTGTTGAGGTGGTTTGGTCATTTAGAGAGAATGGATCAAAGCAGAATGACATGGAGAGCATTTAAATTGGTAGGAGAAGGAAGACTGGGTAGGGGTCGTCCTCAAAAAGGTTGGAAGGAAGGGGTAAGGGAGGTTTTATGGGCAAGGGGCTTGAACTTCCAGCAGGCGTGCATGAGCATGTTCGACAGGAGTGAATGGAGACGAATGGTATTTGGGACCTGACGATCTGTTGGAGTGTGAGCAGGGTAATATTTAGTGAAGGGATTCAGGGAAACCGGTTATTTTTACATATCCGGACTCGAGTCCTGGAAATGGGAAGTACAATGCCTGCACTCTAAAGGAGGGGTTTCGGGATATTAGCAGTTTGGAGGGATATGTTGTGTATCTTTATACGTATATGCTTCTAAACTGTTGTGTTCTGAGCACCTCTGCAAAAACAGTGATTATGTGTGAGTGTGGTAAAAGTGTTGAATGATGATGAAAGTATTTTCTTTTGGGGGATTTTCTTTCTTTTTTGGGTCACCCTGCCTCGGTGGGAGACGGCCGACTTGTTGAAAAAAAAAAAAAAAGTACATTTCCATGAGTTGGTGAAACATTTACCCCACAATACAAACACTTACATTGTGTATAAGTTTTCTTCACGTTAGTGCAGTAGAATAAATAAATAACTACGAGTGAAGGCATACAAAAGGAATAATTTTCTACAGTTACCCCAGTAATACTGTAGTGTACACATTTTCCCTGGTTTTGGACTAGAGAAAACAAAATTCTTGCTGTCACTCCAACAAGCCGCCCTGCTAACACACCTCATATTGATGTCAAATTTATTCTACTGTGTATGTATGGGTGCGGGAGGGAAGAGGAGCGATTGGTGGAATGATGATGTAAAGATAGTAGTAAGGGAGAAAAAGTTAGCATATGAGAAGTTTTTACAAAGTAGAAGTGATGCAAGGAGGGAAGAGTATATGGAGAAAAAGAGAGAGGTTAAGAGAGTGGTGAAGCAATGTAAAAAGAGAGCAAATGAGAGAGTGGGTGAGATGTTATCAACAAATTTTGTTGAAAATAAGAAAAAGTTTTGGAGTGAGATTAACAAGTTAAGAAAGCCTAGAGAACAAATGGATTTGTCAGTTAAAAATAGGAGAGGAGAGTTATTAAATGGAGAGTTAGAGGTATTGGGAAGATGGAGGGAATATTTTGAGGAATTGTTAAATGTTGATGAAGATAGGGAAGCTGTGATTTCGTGTATAGGACAAGGAGGAATAACATCTTGTAGGAGTGAGGAAAAGCCAGTAGTGAGTGTGGGGGAAGTTCGTGAGGCAGAAGGTAAAATGAAAGGGGGTAAGGCAGCCGGGATTGATGGGATAAAGATAGAAATGTTAAAAGCAGTGGGGATATAGTTTTGGAGTGGTTGGTGCAATTATTTAATAAATGTATGGAAGAGGGTGAGGTACCTAGGGATTGGCAGAGAGCATGCATAGTTCCTTTGTATAAAGGCAAAGGAGATAAAAGAGAGTGCAAAAATTATAGGGGGAGAAGTCTGCTGAGTATACCTGGTAAAGTGTACGGTTAGAGTTATTATTGAAAGAATTAAAAGTAAGACGGAGAATAGGATAGCAGATGAACAAGGAGGCTTTAGGAAAGGTAGGGGGTGTGTGGACCAGGTGTTTACAGTGAAACATATAAGTGAACAGTATTTAGATAAGGCTAAAGAGGTCTTTGTGGCATTTATGGATTTGGAAAAGGCGTATGACAGGGTGGATAGGGGGGCAATGTGGCAGATGTTGCAAGTGTATGGTGTAGGAGGTAGGTTACTGAAAGCAGTGAAGAGTTTTTACGAGGATAGCGAGGCTCAAGTTAGAGTATGTAGGAAAGAGGGAAATTTTTTCCCAGTAAAAGTAGGCCTTAGACAAGGATGTGTGATGTCACCGTGGTTGTTTAATATATTTATAGATGGGGTTGTAAGAGAAGTAAATGCGAGGGTCTTGGCAAGAGGTGTGGAGTTAAAAGATGAAGAATCACACACAAAGTGGGAGTTGTCACAGCTGCTCTTTGCTGATGACACTGTGCTCTTGGGAGATTCTGAAGAGAAGTTGCAGAGATTGGTGGATGAATTTGGTAGGGTGTGCAAAAGAAGAAAATTAAAGTGAATACAGGAAAGAGTAAGGTTATGAGGATAACAAAAAGATTAGGTGATGAAAGATTGAATATCAGATTGGAGGGAGAGAGTATGGAGGAGGTGAATGTATTCAGATATGTGGGAGTGGACGTGTCAGCGGATGGGTCTATGAAAGATGAGGTGAATCATAGAATTGATGAGGGGAAAAGAGTGAGTGGTGCACTTAGGAGTCTGTGGAGACAAAGAACTTTGTCCTTGGAGGCAAAGAGGGGAATGTATGAGAGTATAGTTTTACCAATGCTCTTATATGGGTGTGAAGCATGGGTGATGAATGTTGCAGCGAGGAGAAGGCTGGAGGCAGTGGAGATGTCATGTCTGAGGGCAATGTGTGGTGTGAATATAATGCAGAGAATTCGTAGTTTGGAAGTTAGGAGGAGGTGCGGGATTACCAAAACTGTTGTCCAGAGGGCTGAGGAAGGGTTGTTGAGGTGGTTCGGACATGTAGAGAGAATGGAGCGAAACAGAATGACTTCAAGAGTGTATCAGTCTGTAGTGGAAGGAAGGCGGGGTAGGGGTCGGCCTAGGAAAGGTTGGAGAGAGGGGGTAAAGGAGGTTTTGTGTGCAAGGGGCTTGGACTTCCAGCAGGCATGCGTGAGCGTGTTTGATAGGAGTGAATGGAGACAAATGGTTTTTAATACTTGACGTGCTGTTGGAGTGTGAGCAAAGTAACATTTATGAAGGGGTTCAGGGAAACCGGCAGGCCGGACTTTGAGTCCTGGAGATGGGAAGTACAGTGCCTGCACTCTGAAGGAGGGGTGTTAATGTTGCAGTTTAAAAATTGTAGTGTAAAGCACCCTTCTGGCAAGACAGTGATGGAGTGAATGATGGTGAAAGTTTTTCTTTTTCGGGCCACCCTGCCTTGGTGGGAATCGGCCAGTGTGATAATATAAAAAAAAAAGTGTATGTATTATATTTATATATTATGTGGCATATTTCTTATGTAATTTTCAAAAAAATATCACAGATGGATTAATGAAAATGTTATATTAATGTAATATACAACATTTAATGTGCCCCAGTATTAGTATTAGTATTATGATCATCATCATTATTATTATGGCATCAAGACTACTGAGATACTCTGTGATTTTAATGTGTACCTGCACACCAACACAGTGTGTAAGTTTATTTAAGTACAGGTATAATTATCAGCGTGTATGTAAAATACTCAATAGTTTTAAAACAACCGAAATTTTGAAAGCTTCCAGACATAATGGATAGACGTGAAGCTTAAGGAAGATGTAAACAAACAGTGGTGCATGGTGACCGTATTAGAGTCAGGTGTGGGGCGGGAGCCGTATAACAAGTTTTGGTCATAATTTGAAATGTCCGTATTAGTGAAATGCCACAAGGCAAAACGCTGTACAGTGGGGCCCTACTGTACATGACTCATGAAATCACAATGACACAATTGCAAACAAACCATACCACGGGTGGGGTTTGAACCCGCAGTCAGAGAGTCTCAAAACTCCAGATCGTGGGTTCAAACCCCACCTGTGGTATGGTTTGTTTCCCTACTGTACATCATTTTTTTTAAAGGAAGATACATATCCCCCTTAAAAATATGTTCTTCTTAGTCTATGAACCTCAACCTTGTTCAAGGATTTCAGATATTCTATATCTTTTTCCCTCTCAAATTATACTGTACATTTATTTTTAAAAACCTGAATACTTAACTTAACCTCTTTCACTTTAGGAACTCTTTATCACTTCTTGTTTAGTGTTTCTATAAATGATATTTACCCGTCATTCTCTTACAAACTCTCAAATGTTATCCCTATCAGTTGAAATAGCATTCTGCATTTACCACAATAAGAGACTGTTAAGCTATGTTTGTTATTAATGAGTTGTATGGTTATTGCAAAGCCTCATCTGAAAGCACAATTGTGCAAATTACAATGGAAACTTAAAATTTCATTAAAGATCTACAAAAACATTAATAATCTTACGAATAATGAAAGGATGCAAATAAGAAGCCAATGTCTCTCTATCCTCTTCTAACAGTGCTTCGAAGAGTTTGGTAATGAGATGCTTGTAATTGCCACTATTAAGATTACGTACAAAAGTTTCTTCTAAGGGTCGTCCCATTTCAGGACAATACCACCCAGACAGTCTGAAATGCCAAGGAATATGTGGTATGTATGGTAAGTACAGTATCATAAATATAGTACAATATTTAGTACCCAAAACCTTGTACTCTCTCACTGCAATTTATGAATTCTGGATTATTAATAAATTTATTAAACTGGTAGTAATTTATTTTCAATTTACACACTGGATGCTTTATTCTATCTGGGAGTTGCACCTTATCATGTTACTTTCCTCACAATGTTAAACACCTTCAAAAGTTAAACGCTAATTGAATGACTGAAACATATGCCGAAGAATTCCACGTGCTGGTTTGGCCATCACATCAGTGAAGAACACTTTATCTTTTCTCAGAAACAAGAACAGGGAAAAGTTGAGTAGTACCATAATACCTTAAGTACATACACACACCATAAAAAAGGAATAGTAAAGGCAGAACAGCACACTTAATATTAAGGAAAAAAAAAGGCCAAGAGATAGGAAGATGATTCTTTAATAAGATGCAGAAAATGCTATAACATTGTAAGGGCAGCCATTGAAAAGAACTTTCATTACAGAAATAAAATCCTCTTACTTCCTAAATTGGTAGTCAATACAGTACTCTCATATATAAAACCAGTTTAGTGTCTCTTGTATTTCATTTACAAATGCCCACAACTGAATAATTACCTCTTACGTATGAGTTCATCAGCTTGTTCTTGGGCCATTCCAGCAAACACACAATACAAAGCCTTGCGGTCACTAGCAACACTGTTTAGCCTCTTAAAAATCTGAAATATACCACAAAACGCTATAAGGAACAGATCCTATGAAAACAAGTATTTTTATTTGCTTATTAAAGCTATAATAATACATTCCAAAATAATGTACCAGTCTTCTCTTTTTCTTCTTTTAAATTATTATTATTATTAATATGACTGTTGTTGCTTTATTCAACCGTTTCTACTCCAGACAGAGCAATTCTTTAAATAATATGGTGAAAGAATTAAACTCTGCTAACTGAAGTGATAGTTTTATTTTTTTTTTTTTTTTTTATCACACTGGCCGATTCCCACCAAGGCAGGGTGGCCCGAAAAAGAAAAACTTTCACCATCATTCACTCCATCACTGTCTTGCCAGAAGGGTGCTTTACACTATAGTTTTTAAACTGCAACATTAACACCCCTCCTTCAGAGTGCAGGCACTGTACTTCCCATCTCCAGGACTCAAGTCCGGCCTGCCGGTTTCCCTGAATCCCCTTCATAAATGTTACTTTGCTCACACTCCAACAGCACGTCAAGTATTAAAAACCATTTGTCTCCATTCACTCCTATCAAACAGCTCACGCATGCCTGCTGGAAGTCCAAGCCCCTCGCACACAAAACCTCCTTTACCCCTCCCTCCAACCTTTCCTAGGCCGACCCCTACCCGCCTTCCTTCCACTACAGACTGATACATCTTGAAGTCATTCTGTTTCGCTCATTCTCTCTACATGTCCGAACCACCTCAACAACCCTTCCTCAGCCTCTGGAAAACAGTTTTGGTAATCCCGCACCCTCCTCCTAACTTCCAAACTAGAATTCTCTGCATTAAATTCACACCACACATTGCCCTCAGACATGACATCTCCCACTGCCTCCAGCCTTCCCCGCTGCAACATTCATCCCCAAAATGCTTCACACCCATATAAGAGCTTTGGGTAAAACTATACCTCATAAAATTCCCCTCTTTGCCTCCGGGAAAAAAAGTTCTTTGTTCCCAGACTCCTAAGTGCTCCACTCACTCTTTTCCCCTCATCAATTTTCTATGATTCACCTCATCTTTCAAAACCCCCATCCGCTGACACGTCCACTCCCAAATATCTGAATACATTCCCCTCCTCCATACTCTCTCCCTCCAATCTGATATTCAATCTTTCATCACCTAATCTTTTTGTTATCCTCATAACCTTACTCTTTCCTGTATTCACCTTTAATTTTCTTTTTTTTGCACACCCTACCCAAAATTTATCCACCAATCTCTGCAACTTCTCTTCAGAATCTCCCAAGAGCACAGTGTCATCAGCAAAGAGCAGCTGTGACAACTCCCACTTTGTGTGTGATTCTTTATCTGTTAACTCCACGCCTCTTGCCAAGACCCTCGCATTTACTTCTCTTACAACCCCATCTATAAATATATTAAACAACCATGGTGACATCACACATCCTTGTCTAAGGCCTACTTTTACTGGGAAATAATTTCCCTCTTTCCTACATACTCTAACTTGAGCCTCACTATCCTCGTAAAAACTCTTCACTGCTTTCAGTAACCTACCTCCTACACCATACACTTGCAACATCTGCCACATTGCCCCCCTATCCACCCTGTCATACGCCTTTTCCAAATCCATAAATGCCACAAAGACCTCTTTAGCCTTATCTAAATACTGTTCACTTATATGTTTCACTGTAAACACCTGGTCCACACACCCCCTACCTTTCATAAAGCCTCCTTGTTCATCTGCTATCCTATTCTCAGTCTTACTCTTAATTCTTTCAATAATAACTCTACCATACACTTTACCAGGTATACTCAGCAGACTTATCCCCCTATAATTTTTGCACTCTCTTTTATCCCCTTTGCCTTTATACAAAGGAACTATGCATGCTCTCTGCCAATCCCTAGGTACCTTACCCTCTTCCATACATTTATTAAATAATTGCACCAACCACTCCAAAACTATATCCCCACCTGCTTTTAACATTTCTATCTTTATCCCATCAATCCCGGCTGCCTTACCCCCTTTCATTTTACTTACTGCCTCACGAACTTCCCCCACACTCACAACTGGCTCTTCCTCACTCCTACAAGATGTTATTCCTCCTTGTCCTATACACGAAATCACAGCTTCCCTATCTTCATCAACATTTAACAATTCCTCAAAATATTCCCTCCATCTTCCCAATACCTCTAACTCTCCATTTAATAACTCGCCTCTCCTACTTTTAACTGACAAATCCATTTGTTCTCTAGGCTTTCTTAACTTGTTAATCTCACTCCAAAACTTTTTCTTATTTTCAACAAAATTTGCTGATTACATCTCACCCACTCTCTCATTTGCTCTCTTTTTACATTGCTTCACCACTCTCTTAACCTCTCTCTTTTTCTCCATATACTCTTCCCTCCTTGCATCACTTCTACTTTGTAAAAACTTCTCATATGCTAACTTTTTCTCCCTTACTACTCTCTTTACATCATCCTTCCATCAATCGCTCCTCTTCCCTCCCGCACCCACTTTCCTGTAACCACAAACTTCTGCTGAACACTCTAACACTACATTTTTAAACCTACCCCATACCTCTTCGACCCCATTGCCTATGCTCTCATTAGCCCATCTATCCTCCAATAGCTGTTTATATCTTACCCTAAACTGCCTCCTCTTTTAGTTTATAAACCTTCACCTCTCTCTTCCCTGATGCTTCTATTCTCCTTGTATCCCATCTACCTTTTACTCTCAGTGTAGCTACAACTAGAAAGTGATCTGATATATCTGTGGCCCCTCTATAAACATGTACATCCTGAAGTCTACTCAACAGTCTTTTATCTACCAATACATAATCCAACAAACTACTGTCATTTCGCCCTACATCATATCTTGTATACTTATTTATCCTCTTTTTCTTAAAATATGTATTACCTATAACTAAACCCCTTTCTATACAAATTTCAATCAAAGGGCTCCCATTATCATTTACACCTGGCACCCCAAACTTACCTACCACACCCTCTCTAAAAGTTTCTCCTACTTTAGCATTCATGTAGTTTTATTATGAAAGGTAAATTATTTAATAAATCACTCAGTAAATACTGCACTCCAACCTCCTATAATTTATGAAGATTATCTGTGATGGATACCCCTCAAGTGAGGTTCCTTGATGATGGTGGATGGATCTTGATCTAAGGAAATTATTTGTGCTACCCAACCTTGGATTGAACCTGTTTATCTCCCATTATCTAGGAGCTGTATGACCTCTGTGGGCTAAACGATTCTACCTAAATATAATAATAATAACAATAATAATTGCCCTACCCTGGTGGGAGACAAGTAATGAGGTAAATAAAAATTAATATGATGGATATTTCAGCTTTAAAAAATCACAGTACAGGCACTCTTCACTTAACGGCCTACCAGTTTACTGACCATGCGGACTTACGACCAGCTTTCCAACCAGTCAGTATTGTATGCTGTATAAGAACTTTGGTCGTGGAAACGGCAAATGAATGACCTTTTACAATGCTGTAGTGAAATTTATGAAGATAAAAAGAAAATTACAAAGCAGACCACAATAATGCGATTATTTTTGAAAGTTACACCCCCAGACCCCTACAAGTCCTCCCACTTCCTTGCCATCATCTCCCTTACACAGGGCCTCTACAGCTCCTGATGACCATGCAAATTTAAACAGTTATCAAGTTGGAGTTTCCTTTAGACCTTTTCTTTATTTAGAATAAATAAAAACAATTGCCTGTATTTACAGTATGCAAACCTATGCATATTAGAGCTAATTTCTTCTATTCTGTTTATTACAGTACCCCCCCAGCAAATTCGTGGTTCTGAATTTGCAGCTTCAGCAATTCGTGGATTTTTCCTTAGAACCTAACTAATAATTAAACCTTTGACTGTTTCGGTCGTATATATATGTCTTACGAGCCAATGTGTTGGACATATATACAGTGGTCCCTCAATAATCGTCCGGCCTGAAAGTCGTCCATTTCGGAAATAGTCCTGTTTTTTCGTCAAAATATTGGCTCGCAAATGGTCCAGTAACTTGCTAATAGTCCTAATAATCCTTCGTCCTGGTCGCGTACTCACGCTCTGAGCTGCCTCGGCCTTTCCTTCCCAGCCAGTGTGCCACTGTTTACCTGTGAGTGATGGTCCCCTCACATGCTCCTACGAAATATTTCATAATATTCCATTGATTTTAGTGCTTGCAAGTGCTAAATAAGCTACCATGGCTCCAAATAAAGCTTCTAGAGCCAGCCCTTTGGTAAAGAATGTGAGAAACACATAATTTATGAAAAAAGTTTGTAGAAAAATACAAAGATGGTGGTGGTAGAGTGGAAGCAGTTGTGATAGTGGTTGATGAACATAAGAAAGGAGGATCACTGCAGCAGGCCTGTTGGCCCATACTTGGCAGGTCCTTTACAATTCATCCCACTAACGAAACATTTTCCCAACCCAGTCCTCAATGCTACCCAAGAAATAAGCCCTGATAACTCTATCCACTCATTTCCAAGTCCCAAATGAGAGTTGTTGGAGTTATATAGGGCTACAAAAATCACCGCCGACTCAGCTGCTGCTTCACCACCATTATGGAACGGCTTACGCTCAGTGGCCCTTATATACCCAACAACACAACACAACACCTCTCGTGACATACATAATGACTTATTTTATTCATTCTAGAGTATATTCCATGTTTCTATGTTATTAATATTGTTTATTATGTCATATTAGTTGAATTGTGATAGATAAATAAGCCATAGAGTTGATATTAGTGTCATATTCTCCAACAATAAACTTGCCATCCCTCCCTCACACAAACAAATAGCCAATAAGAACATAACAATGGAACAACACTGCAGGTCTACTGGCCCATACAAGGCAGGTCCTTATCAAAATGACCTCCACCCAAAGCTACCCAAGAATTTACTCCCGTACCCAATGACACAAATCAAACTCAGCTCCTCCAACTCGTATATTTGTCCAATCTCTTCTTAAAGCTACCCAAGGTCCTAGCCTCGATCACCCTACTGGTAAGTGTGATGTTAAATAAGAACTTAAGAAAGTAGGAACACTGGAACAGGCCTGCTGGCCCATACTAGGCTGGTCCTTCACAAATCCAACCCACTAACAGAACAAATGCTACCCAAGCAATAAACTCAGGTGCAAGTCCGACTCAAATCCAACCCCTTTCACTCGTGTATTTATCCAACCTAAATTTGAAACTACCCAAGCCATAGCTTTTAGAACATTGGAAAGGAGGAACACTGCAATAAGCCTGTTGGCCCATATTAGGCCAGTCCTTCACAAATTCAACCCACTAACAGAACAAATGCTACCCAAGCAATAAGCTCAGGTGCAAGTCTGACTCAAATCCAACCCCTTTCACTCGTGTATTTATCCAACCTAAATTTGAAACTACCCAATGTTTTAGCTTCGATCACCCTACTAGGCAGACCGTTCCACTCATCAACTACCCCTATTACCAATGTTCATTTATACATTTTATTAGTGCCCTAGAGTCCTTATGGAGGGGGATTCCCCTTCCAAATAACCTCTCTTCCCTCTCTCCTCCTCCCTGTCTTCCATTCATCAACAACAGCCTTCAATAAAGGTAACTGTCATGTTGAATGTTCATTCTTTTGTGCATGTAAATCTATCTTTCAGGTAAAAAAAAAATTTTTTTGTTGATACTTCTGGGTGTCTGGAACGAATTAATTGGATTTACATTATTTCTTATGGGGAAAATTGATTTGAAAATCGTCCATTTCGATAATAGTCCCACTTCCAGGAACGGATTATGGACGATTATTGAGGGACCACTGTACTATACTCAAAAATTCTAGCGGCTTCAAATCAAGTGGGAGAAAGCTGGTAGGCCCACATGTGAGAGAATGGGTCTGTGTGGTCAGTGTGCACTGTATGAAAAAAAATCCTGCAGCACGCAGTTCATGAGAAAAAACTTTGTCCGTGTTTTTGGATTAAAGCGCTGACTTTGAGGTGTATTTCTGTATAGTATTTATGGTTGTATTCTCGTTTTCTTGGTCTCATTGGATAGAATGGAAAATGTACTACAGAAATGGAGATGATTTTGATTGGTTTTACTAGGAAAAGGACCTTGAAATGGAGCTCAAAGTAGGGGAAATGTTTGATTTTTGCAGATGTTCAAGAGTAAACAAGTGATGTCATTGTCCAATAAATGCCCAACTAGCCATTCTGATATGCAGTCATGAATGGGTTGACATTATTTATGCAATTATTACAATATTGCAGTAGTCTGCATAACAGTAAATCTTCTATTTTTTGTTTCAATAAAAATTCAAAATAGAAAGCAAGAGCAATATCAGAGGGGCCTGGAGACGTGACTGATGAACAAAGAAAATGTTATTTTAGAGCCAGGAATGTCTGCATTGTTCATTCTGGACCCTATTTTGAAACTGGCATATTTTTTATTTGCGTGAAATTGGCCAAATTGCCAATTTCTGACCACTTTATTGGGTAACTGAAATCGGTAAATGGGCAGCGTCTCGATTCAATCGATAGAACAAATAAAGTTCTAAAGAAATAGCTATGAGTTTGGTCAACTGGAACAATGGAACTGGCTGAAAATAGGGCTCAAAGTGCGCAAAATCGCCGATTCATAAATATCACCGAGGTCGTTAACTTCACGAGAGCGTAATTCCGTAAGTTTTCCATCAAATTTCATACTTTTGGTGTCATTACCATCAGGAAAAGATTCTCTATTATTTCATAAGAAAAATAATTTTTTTTTTTTTTTCAAATATTTTGCGACACCAGGAGACACCTCAGGATTGGGGGTTGCGACAGACAAAAGGTTAGGTGTTCATGGAAATCCCTGCAAATTTGCGGAATTTTGGGGGGCTTTTTTCGTGGCAATATATAATTTTTTATGTGTTTTAACACTAAATATTAAGAAAAATATAATTTAATAATTTTGTATCATAAATATTAATGTAAATTCAGCAAAATTTTCACATAAAATATAATACTGTATAACTTTTTTAGTGCTGTAGAGAGAACACAAAGAGACAGTAGAGGAAAACGCGGCTTGGGATGGTGAAATGCCCCTGTATTCAGAGGCGTAAGGTTTGAAAGTAGCCAATCTGAGAGTGTTATTCATATTTCGTTGCTGCTGATTGGCTGCTGGTCTGTGATGTACATCCAGGAGATGGGGCAAAGCATTCACACATCATAACTGTTTACCGCATGTAGCTATTTCGAGTGTTTGTTTGATTGTTCTTGCATTTTTTTTGTGCACGTTTAAGCCCTAAGATGCTGCCCAAACACCCCATACCTTCTAAGGCTTCTGGCAATGAACCTAAGTGCCAGAGGAAGTTTAAAACACTCCAGGAGAAGGTTGAACTTCTGGATTTGCTCTGGGAAAAGAAAAGCTATGCCGCAGTAGTACGCCATTGTGGCTTAAATGAGAGCTTTGCTTTGCTGTGCAGTCATTACCTTCATCAAATTGCACAGCTAATTCATCATCATCTTCAATCGGTATCATTCATTACTGGTGAGCACCCGTACATTTAACTTTACTTTTACTAAATTAAAATACCATATATTTACCGTAAGTGTACCAAAGAAAACGGAGTTGCATGAATTACAGTATACCAAAGAAAACAGGTTTGAATGAATTATAGTACAAATGGGGGAAACATCAGTATTTTACATTCTAACACTGTGGGAGACATAGCAGTACAATACTGTATATGGGTTTATCTTTACATTCTTTTTTTTTTTTTAAAGGGTGATGTATGAAGCTGAGCTTGAAATTAAATTAAAGTGTTTTGGGGGCATATTTAGGGTTTAAACTCTAAAAATAGACATTTATAGGTATTTTTTTAACCACGTCCAGAATTCGCAGTTTTTCCAAATTCGTGGGTGGTCTTGGAACGTAACCCCTGTAAATTTGGGGGGACTACTGTACAGTACACTACTGTACAAATATATTTAAAAATATACTAGAAATGTTATAAATGGTGCAAAGGTGACATTAAAACAATATCTGAAGATGAATGACACAATCCCACTACCAGAACACTATGCTTGAAATATCAGTAAGGGGCGGCTCCTCACTTATCAACCAATTTGCTTAATAAACTTGTAGGAACGAAACTCGGCCATTAAGTGAGGAGTGCCTGTATTTACAAAATATCTTTCAACAACTTACTTTGTGAAGATTGTTTTCAACACTGAGGCCCAAGTGGTCCTCGAGTAGATCATAGCGACCAATGATGTAGAGTGCCTCCATTATGTGATCTAGATTGCCAAAACTTTGTCGTACAGTATTAACTACTTGCTCTAAAGCTTCCTGAAAATGCAAGTATCTTTATTAATATTGAAAAAGTAATTTGTAATTCTTTTTCCAGCAAACCAGCCATATCCTACCAAGGCAGGGTGGCCCCCATAAAAAAAACAAAAAAACAAAATGAAAGTTTCCCTTTTTAAATTTAGTAATTTACACAGGAGAAGGGGTTACTAGCCCCTTGCTCCCATCATTTTAGTCGCCTCTCACGACATGCATGGCTTATGGAGGAAGAATTCTGTTCCACATCCCCATGGAGTAAATTTGTAATTAGAATGGATAATTCCTTGGCAATTCATAGTTTAACCTTTTTTGGTGTCGGTCCCGTTATATCACGGCTTTGAAGCCAGCGTTGGTCCTGTATTATGATGCTATGAGCTTAGCTCACTCAGATAAGCTGCGAGTGGTGAATCTGGCCTAGATATGAGAGAATGGACCTATGCAGTAAGTGTGCACCATATAAAAAAAAATCCTGTAGCACACAGTGCATGAGAAAAAAACTGACTGTTTCTGGCTTAAAACAGCAACTTTGCGGTGTATTTTTGTATGGTTTTTATGGTTATATTCTCAGTTTCTTGGTCTCATTTGATAGAATGAAGATATATAATGGAAATAGAGATGATTTTGATTAATTTCAGGACTAAAAGTGGCTAGAAATTGAGTCAATGTAGTGGAAATGTTAAATTTTTGCTGATATTCCAGAGTACACATTTGACGTCATTTGTCCAATATGCGTCCAACTAGCCAGTCTAATATGCATTCAGGAATGCACTGACATTATTTATACAATTATTACAATAATGCAGTAGTCTGCATTATTGTAATAATTATTATTCAAAATGAGGGGCCTGAGACGTGACTAAGGAACAGAGGAAATGTTTATTCTGGACCCTATTTTCAAATTGGCAATTGCTGAATTTTGCATGAAATTGGCCAAATTACCAATTTCTGATCACTTTATTGGAATTGAAGGGAATACTAGCAAAACAGTTGTAAGTGTGGTGGACTGGAACAATGAAATTGACCAAAACTAGAGCACAAAGTGGGCAAAATTGCTGATGCGTAAATATTGCCGAGACCACTAACTTTGCGAGAGCATAATTCTGTAAGTTTTCCATCAAATTTCGTACTTTTGATTTCCTTACCCTTGGAAAAGGATTCTCTATCATTTCATAAAATATTTTTTTTTCTTTAATTCTTTGACCTTGAGAGTAAGTTTGAGAGCAGAGGTTAAATGAACAATACACAGTGGAAAGCACAAATTATTCAGTTCATATAAGTTGGGAATCTTGAAACAAAAAACTGACGACATACTAACTTAAAGAAAATCTTAAGGCAAGCATTTCTTAAAAAGAACACTAGATAGCTTGTTGAAACTCAATGTTTGGTAACAGTAATACTGGTTGACAGATATATCTATCACATCCTCAAGACTGAGCTTAATTATTTTGAAAACAGAATGTTTTTTTGGGTCACCCTGTCTTGGTGGGAAACAGCCGATGTGTTAATAAAAAAAAAAAAACATTCGGGGCAATCATTATAAAATCAATACGAGTTTATACACCTCACCACAGTGGGAGAAGGAAGATGAGGAGAAGAATTTGATGGAAGCTGCTTGACATGAGGTATACAATCAATTGGGTCATAATACATCATGTTCATTAGGCTGACTTTGCTCACAAATAATTTCACAAAAGGTGGTGATTGATTATACACCAAGTAAGATCTAAGTGCATCACATATATCTGTTCTTGAATTATTGTGTTCAATGTCACATTGAATACAATAAGACATTGAACCCACAGCGTATAGTAGTTGTGGCATCTCTCACATGGAATGGAGTAGATGCGCACAAAGACACTCTATATTGACACAGGTTATGGAACATACTGATATTAAAGTTAGGTAACTGAAGTAATTAATTAGAGTTACAATAGTGAGAGAGTACAAAACATAACAATATTACAATTAGTAAATTTAGTAATGGGAATTATTTTGTCTTGGCATGATACATTGTTTCTATTAAAGCTGCTATATTGGGAAAGTATCCTAGCCAAACTCAGGGCTAACTTAAGACTTATTAGGCAATAGCTATACAGTAGGACGCCACTTTACGGCGTTTCACTTTACGGCATTCTGCTAACACGGTCATTTCAAATTATGACCAAAACTCTATACGGCTCCCCCCACCTGATTTTCTAATACAGTCACAGTGCCCCACCTGATTTGTTTACATTCTCTGTGAGATCTGTAAGCACTAGGTCTCTCCGTTATGTCTGGAAACTCCAAAATTTCAAGTGTTTTTAAGTTATTTCATATTTTATATATACAGTTGAACCTCAAAAATTGAACTGCTCCCAACACAACCAATTATGAAAATGTATTTTTGTAAGTGCTTTTATAAGTGTATTTTTGAGGGTCTGAAATGGACTAACCTAATTTACATTATTCCTCATGGGAATAAATTCATTCGGTAAAGGCACTCAAACAGCCTTCTGGACCAAAGAAAGTTCGATATTTGAGGGTCCACTGTACTCTGATAATTGTACTTATGTATACCTGTAACTAAATAAACTTACATGCTGTGCTGGCATGCAGGTACACATTAAAATCAGTGTCTTGTGTCTCGATACACGATGATGATGATGATGATGATCATGATGATCATGATGATGATCATGATGATGATGATGATGATCATGATGATGATCATGATGATTATCATGATCATGATGATGATCATGATGATCATGATGATGATCATGATGATGATCATGATGATCATGATGATGATCATGATGATCATGATCATGATGATGATCATGATGATCATGATGATGATCATGATGATGATCATGATCATGATAATGATGATGATGATCATGATCATGATGATCATGATGATCATGATCATGATGATCATGATCATGATGATCATGATGATCATGATCATGATGATCATGATCATGATGATCATGATGATCATGATGATCATGATCACCGTCTCATTAAATGTCGTATATTACGTTAATATACACATTTTCATTAAGCTATCATATTTTTTTCAAAATTACATAATAAACACGATACATAACATATAAAGATGATAAATACACCCCACAGTAGAGTAAATAAAAATAAATGTGAGATGTGGTTGCTAGACAACTTGTACAAGTGACAGCAAGAATAACATTTTCTCTAGTCCAACATAAGAGGAAATTTGTTACTGGGGATAACTGTAGAAAATTATTCCTTTTGTATGTAAGTTTATTCAGGTATACACAAGTAAAGTTACATAGATTATCATACATAGCAGCATATGTGTAAAGTACCAAGGATAACCCAAAAAAAGTCAGTGTGACTTATTTCCAGTGCCTTCACTCAGAGCGTCATTTCTTCTAAAAATGGTGTTACATGAGAATGGGAGTGATGGTCTTTATTTATTCTACCATATCAATGTAGAGACAACTTGTACACAATGTAACTTTGTACACAAACCAGACGTGTACACCTGGTCTGTTTACAAAACTGCGTTCGCCTGGTTTGCTTACATAACTCTGCGCCTGTCCTCTCTCATGTACTCATTCTCTCTCTCTCTCTCTCATTTATTCGTTTTATCTCGTTTACTCACCTCTGACCCTACATTAAGACTACAAATATTTTAAGGAAAGTAATGAGTGAACTGTATATACATTTTATCACTCTGAGATGCTTAAATCTCATAGAATATTGTGTTGGTGGAATGGCCTGGTATGGTAGCCCGGCTGGCTACCATACATACCACACTTGATTTCTTACAATAAATACTACTCATCTCACCCTAGATTAAGACTACAAATATTTTAAGGTAAGTAATAAGTGCACTATGTGTGTATTTTACTTTTTTATTGTTTTTTAATGCCTAGTTCTATTGCTAACTTAATATATGTTAGTGCAAACTTCTTATCTAGTATTTATATGCATTTATAAGTGGAAAAAAAAGGATGTTCCACTTTATGGCGATTTCCGCTTTACGGCTGTAGCCTGGAACCTAACCTGCTGTATAAGTGGGGCCCTACTGTATTACAAATTTTATGCTTACAGTCATTTGGGTGAGTGTAAGTGTAAATAAGGAGGAAATACAGATAATTAGAGTAAGTCTATTGTGTTTTGGATGTGTTAATGATACAACTAAGAGAATAGGTGGTTCTCATATAGTTAGCTGATGATGGGGTGTGTTAGGGAGATAAGATGCTTTTTAACAGTAGTTTTGATTTTAAATGGTGGTCGAGTCTTCAGGTCTAGAGTTTTCAGGCAGGAGTTACAGATTTTAGGCCCTTGCATGTACATTGAATTTTTGTAGAGATTTAGCCGAACACAAGGAATGTCAAAGATTTTTGTGTCTGGTATTGTGTCTATGGTCCTGTTGCAACTATCAAGGAAGTGCTTAGTCCAGGGTTAATATTAGAATTTATGGTTCTGTAATGTAGGCTGCACAGTAGTAGGGGTGGATGTTCTGTGCAGTAAGTTTAGGTCTTTGAAGAAGGGGGTGGGGGGTTGTTGTCTAGCATTGGATTGCATGTTAATTCTTACTGCGGCTTTTTGTTGGGTTATTTTTTACTTTATGAGTTGCTGCTGTGATCCCCAGGCACAAATAGCATAGGTGAGGTAGGGACAGATGAGTGAATAGTATAGTGAGAGTAGGGCTGATTGTGGTACGTAGTAATGTATCTTGAAGGTGAAATGTCACAAAATATTAAGACAAGGCTTCAAAAGTATAAATTAACTTGATATACATACAGTGGAACCTCGGTACACGACTAGCTCCCTATTAGAACAAAGCTCAGCACTCAACCAAACAAATACAAGCTGTCAGAACTTTGCTGTAAACTATTTCATGTTTCTTCGCATTATTTGGTGTTTTTTGTATTATCTGTATAAATAAGTCACCATGATGCCTACGAAGATTAGTGATAACAGCCAACCAAACAGAAAATTGGTTGGGAAAAACTCGTTCGATACTCAAA